TATATCATCTCCCTGTGGTCTTATGTCCTATTAGCAAATACAGAATATTTAATAGATATTTGTTTAAAGTTGTGGATTAGCTCATTGGATAGATGCATTTATGTTGAGATTTTATGTTGATATTTCCCCGATGATACATTTAAATTTTAATGTTTTTACAAATAATAATAACAGTAATGACTCCTATTCAGAATACACACTGTATTTCATAAATACTCATGTATGTTATCTGACATGGACAGCATGAGCCTCATGCTTCAGAGGAGAGAGCCAAGGCCAAGAGAGTTAAGTGAGAGTCCAACGTCCCATGGCTACTGAGTGCTAGAACCGTGACGAGAACCCAGGCAGAACGGGTCCTGGTCCAAAGACTGCCCCACTTCAAATTTATCTTTCTAAAAGAATGGCTACAGTGGGGCTCCTGTCCTGGAATGAAGTCCATTAGAACTGCGCTCTCTGGCCACTGTCTTCCATAGGGTTTGACCTTGAAGTTGGATTTAACAATTCTAGCATTAATCCTGTTGCTAGGAAAATGGGAGCATGTACAGGGAAGGCAAATCAGAGAAAATACTTNTATATCATCTCCCTGTGGTCTTATGTCCTATTAGCAAATACAGAATATTTAATAGATATTTCTTTAAAGTTGTGGATTAGCTAATTGGATAGATGCATTTATGTTGAGATTTTATGTTGATATTTCCCCGATGATACATTTAAATTTTAATTTTAATGTTTTTACAAATAATAATAACAGTAATGACTCCTATTCAGAATACACACTGTCTTTCATAAATACTCACATATGTTATCTGACATGGACAGCATGAGCCTCATGCTTCAGAGGAGAGAGCCAAGGCCAAGAGAGTTAAGTGAGAGTCCAACGTCCCATGGCTACTGAGTGCTAGAACCGTGACGAGAACCCAGGCAGAACGGGTCCTGGTCCAAAGACTGCCCCGCTTCAAAAGAATGGCTAAAAGAATGGCTACAGTGGGGCTCCTATCCTGGAATGAAGTCCATTAGAACTGTGCTCTCTGGCCACTGTCTTCCATAGGGTTTGACCTTGAAGTTGGATTTAACAATTCTAGCGTTAATCCTGTTGCTAGGAAAATGGGAGCATGTACAGGGAAGGCAAATCAGAGAAAATACTTNTTAATCCTGTTGCTAGGAAAATGGGAGCATGTACAGGGAAGGCAAATCAGAGAAAATACTTATTGATTAGAGAAAGCAAAAGCAAGAGGCAGCGGGAAAAGAAAGACAGAAGAAGGCCCAGGAAGTGGAAGAAAGAACACAAGGGATAAGGAGGAAAATGGTAGGGAGAGAGGAAAGCTGGGAGGGAGCGGAGACCAGCAGGATGAATACTTAGAGGGAAAAGGGGGACAGGGGGTGAAGGAAGGGAGTGGGGGAGTGAAGGCAAGTGCGGATAGAAAAGGGGAACCAAGGGCACGTGGCAAGGCACCTGGAGTGGGAGAGGAAAGGCGGAGGGAAGGCAGACGGGAAGGGAGGGAGAGAGCCTCCCATGAGACGGTGCTCACAGGAGGAGGGAGGATTGGAGGGAAACGGGAAGTGGGAAGGAGGAAGCTGTTTGATGTGAAGGTTTGGCTTGTGGGGCATTCTGCCACTCCCAAACCCTGTCCAATGTTTTGTCCAGATCTTATTTCTGCTTCTCATCTCTGCCTGGGTCCTGGAAAGGGCAAGATCTGATAGAGTCTCCCCTTTCCGTCCTGACAGTCTGTCGTCTAAAGGCTCTAGTCTATGCCCCTCTATCTTACTTAATGTTCCAATCAACAGTTTTGGGTACAAAGCCTTTCCGTGTCTGTCACATCATCCCTTTCCGGTGACAGTACCTCTCCCCTTTTGAGTCTGGTCTTGCCTCTCCTACATCAATCAGTGCATAGCAATGGGTGCATGTCAATGAAATGTATGCTGATTTGAAATAGACTTGGGAAAAATTATTCTTTATCTACATGTGCCATAAAATGATATGCCACTCAAGGCTAAATAGAAATATCTTTTTTTTTTTTTTGTCTTTTTTTTGTGACTGGTAAGGGGATTGCAACCCTTGGCTTGGTGTCACCCGCACAGTGCTCAGCCAGTGAGTGCACCGGCCATCCCTATATAGGATCCAAACCTGCGGTGGGAGCGCCGCTGCACACCCAGTGCCGCACTCTCCCGAGTGTGCCAAGGGCTCGGCCCAATAGAAATATCTTTTACATTAGCTTTTCTTTTGGATTATTTCATGGATTACTCCATGATTGTTTTCCATAAGTATGAATGCCATAGACCTGGCTGGACCCCCAATTATCTCCTTGTACTAATTCATCAATGTTTTATCCTACACAAGTATCAAGAATTATGCCTATTGGGCCGGCCCGGTGGCGCACTGCTACAGTGCGCCGCTTGGGAGTGTGGCGGCGCTCCCGCCGAGGGTTCGGATCCCACATACAGACCGGCCGCTCACTGGCTGAGCGAGGTGCAGGAGCAACACCGAGGGTTGCAATCCCGTTGCCAGTCCCGGTCCGGTACGGGCGCGACACTGAGGGTTGCGATCCGTTGCCGGACACGAAAAAAGACAAAAAGGAAAAAAAAAAGAATTATGCCTATTTACAAGAATGTTCCACTCTTTCTTTATAGGTGGAGTTTTAACTAAGAAAGTCCTGGAAGTGATAATCTAACAGGCTTTTGAAATCAACTGATAGTTAATTTTCACCCACCAGAATCATAATTCTAATGACAGTTCAGTAGATGAGAGATACCACAGGCTAGCTAGAATAATTATCTTTTCTCTTAATTATAAAGGTTTCCTGAGACAGTATTATCAAAGCATTTTTTACATCAAATAGAGCAAAAGCTTTTCCCTGCAATATACAGAATTTCAAAATACAAAATGAGGGGTTTTGTGCTTTGATGTAGCTAAATATTAGGTTTTCAGATATTTAGAATACCACACTTCCTTCTGCAAGACTTTTATAATTCTTAACAACAGATTCTTTCTCAGGTTTGATGAAAATTGCCCTTATTCCTGACATGGTTTCTGTGATACATTTTCTTTTGCCATTCATACGTGTAAATACACCAACGCATGTGGTGCTTAACTATCATAACCAACATTCTCCACTTTCATAGCATCCCTTCTCTTTGAAGGGAAGCAACCTTTTTAATTTGGAAAGTCAAGATTGTTATGAAAATCTTTTTAAATGAAATGGTAAGAAAAACTTACTTAGTCAGTTTCCTCTTCTTTAAACCGTTTTTACTCCTGAGAATTAAGGAAAAAAGATAAATTTATCTGGGCAAAAGAATTGATTATCATCATGATTAAACTTGACGAGCTTTAAATAATTACATCAGGCACCTCAATTTTATTTAATTTTCGTTAAACATACCTCAGGTTTGTTTAATCACTTTTCATTAAATAAGAAGATAATGATAACAATTTCAGATTCATTTTTTTTAAAACTCTGTTAGACTGCAGAAACATACCTGCACTTTATATTTCATGTATGCCAAAAACTGAGTTCAGGAAATATAATTTCTTGCTCCTAGTGATTAAGTTGCTAACATATTTTGTAAATATGCAGAAGTATCTACTGCCTGAATACTACAGGTTCTACACGTGGGAAGGAAGAATTGGAGAGTAAATGGGAGAACTAATGATGAGAGGGTGAAATATTGGTTTCTAAAAGACTAAAATAACCTTTTCTGCCATTTCACTGGGGATGTGAATTTGTTTTATCAGTGTGGGCATGTATCTTATATAATTCTACTATGGCATTTTTCTCGTTCAAATTTGAACTAGTTTTTAACTATCTGAAGAAATGGGCCTATTACTTGCTTATTCCTGATTCATTACTAGTCTGCAAGCTCAAACACAGAAAATGCTGATGAATGCTTCTGTTAATTACATTTGTTTATGGGGTATTCAGGGCAATCATTTTCATTCAACAAGTAAGATAACTAACCTAAGTTAGTTGATGCTAAGATCGTATCTATCTTAAAATACTGTGATTGTATTTTTATTGTCTTATATAAATGATAAGTATTGGAACATGATTGAATGTATGAGTGACACGATAGTAAACACTTTTACAAGTACTTTCAGATGTCTTTAAATATTTTTGATGGAAGCACCCAAATTTTCAGAAAATAAACAGTCTATATAGTAAGTACATAACCAGTTGTGACCTTAGTATTCTCATGTACCAAAATATTTATTTATATTTAAAATTTTGAATGTTTGGATACCTCCACTCCCTCCACTTTGAGAGAAATAAAATACTACTTTAGCAGAACGAAGCACCACTTTCTCTCAAGTGCTTTCAAAGCACTTTTCCAATGGGGTATTTCTCATGCTGTAGGATCATTGCTTGTATATATACCCCATGCCAGACTCTCATCTCCTCCCAGAGCTGAGCATAGTAGATGGGACACACAGTGGGTGGTCAATAAATGCTTATTTAATTGAATTGAAGCAAAACACCTTTGCCATGTTACTCTCAGGATTTCACTTAATGACTCAAATAAGATTTTGATACTGGACTGGGGTGTGTGAGGTCCCGGCTGGGGAAAGAGACTTGTGGAGGAAGAAGCGTAAGGTAGGTCAGGAAATGTAGGGAAACGTCCATAAAGACAAGTGGTGGTTGTGCTTGTCAGGTAGTTTTTACTTCTTGTCACTTCAAAGTGAGGACCATCCATTCAGTAGTTCCTGTTCTATTTTTTTTTCTCCCTCATCCTCTTCGTCTTCCAGACTCAGGATTTAGAAGGAATAAACATTCTGGTTTTTACTCAGCCCCTCCCTGATCCCCTCAGAACCCACTGTAATGTTGGACGTAGCTGTATCATATAGGTATTTGGGAACCTAAAGAAAGAACTATTGATCATTTTTCATTCAGCTCTTGTGATGGTAATTTAGTTTACTTTAGGAATTCCATTTACTTTGTGTAGTAAGAGCCAACTGCCTTAGTGCTTTATGAAAGCAGAATGCCGGCATAGACGGCTAAGATCTCTGCTAAAGTCAGGAGGCTGCCAGCATATTTTGTGATTGGGAGTGGAAAAAAACATACTTTTCTTTCCAAACAGACTTCAAGGGAAACTAGGAAGAAACAAACGTATGTGAGAGGATGACACTGAATAAATTCAGTGCTGAAATATTAAGCTGCTACTATTCAACAGCTGTGTAGAAACCTGATTCACAGAGAAGCACATTTTTTTCTTTCAATCTCACCCATTATTGAATGAACTCTCAATACGATGTAAAATTCTACCACACTTTAAATGACATATTGTCACACACTTATTGTATGTATTGTACTTATTGCACGTCATACACTTATTGTCATAAGTGTGTCTTCGTGATTCGCATACAACTTTTATTGTTCTATTCAGATTTCGCTGAATTTTTGCAGATTCCAAAGGGTTCCTGTATCCTAAGGCTGTGGAACATGGCAAGATTGAATGAAGAGTCTCCACAGCAACGCTGGTAGAATTTTTCTACATTTTCAATTGCTGGGCTAATTCCAAGACTGAAAGGAGGGGAAAATTCACCTGCAAACATGTAAATTAAGGCTTGCTAGCAATTGTAATTTCAGCACATTATGAAAAGAGCTAGTGTGTGTGCATGTTACAGTGAAGAGTATCAGCTTTTTGTTGTAAAAGATTTTCCAAATAACTGATAAATAACACCTATCAGTCATACTGAATATGTGCATACAGGATCACACTCTTTCATTTTTCTCTTTCACTCACATTAGGTAGGATTCAAGACCCTAATGACTTCAATAAGTTAAAGTGCATTCTTCATAGGTTCTTAATGATTATGACAGTCTTGGAAAGCTGGCCAAGCTGTAATTCATTCCAAAGAATACGAGGCAATGGCAGAGACATGGGGTTTATAATGGTTAAAACAAAACAAAGCAAAATTTTATAAGCCACCAATTTCATAAGTGCTACTTGCTCTTTCATGAGCTAAACCAAAACCATCCCCAAATCTTAAAAAGTTCTTCAGGGTTGTGTCATTCTCCAAACAGAGCATGGAATAGCCACGAGTAAAGCAGGATTTTAAACTAAATGCTGCTTCATACTGAAAATGCCAACTGTTTAGGATTTAGAACAGGCAGATGAATACCTGAGTATAGTATGAAGGTGGCTATGGTAGCAAAAAAAGGTAATAGCACTGAATCTATATAGAGCTAGTTTAAATTAGATGATTTTTCTCAATAGGAAACATACTCTGAGGTCATTAAAGTCAGAAATCCTTGCAGAATATAATCCTGAGACTAAGCTAACTGGGCACTAGTGCTCCACACTGATTCTGCTACCACCCGGAGAAAAGATTTGAGCAACACTATGAACGAGAGAAAGAGTCTTCTTGATTTCCACACAAACCACTAGAAGCATCAGGGTTTTTTTTTTTTAGAAAGTCAACCGGAACATCTTTCTAAGAAATCTACAATTTAGGGAGGAAGATGGACAGTGTGTTAGGAAGTGCGTGCTGGCGAAGGTTCTGTTATTCACAGCTGTTGTTAACAGGGTGGATGAATTATGAAGACAAATACATCTGAAAAATGACTATTTAGCAAATGAAAGCAGGGGAAAATATCCACACGTTATTAGATGAAGCAAACAGTAGGGAACTTGAATGAGTACTGAGCTGTGCTTGAAGGAGCAGCGACCTTGAATTTGACTTCTTTCCTGTCTGGTATAGCACAAGCCTAGGGCTGAGAACACAGTTCACTGGTTGCTATCAGTGAAATTGACTGAAAGTGACAGAAAGCATGGGGCTCTATGTGTGGCCTTCTCTTCTCATCCCAGATAACAATTTACAGTCTAAGGAAGATTCTTCTAAAAATACCGAAGGGTTTTTTCCCCTGCCTAACGTGGGTCTCAAGCTAGTTGATTACTACCATAAATAGCAGACCTTGAAGAGGTTGCTTCAAAATTTGAAATGTGAAGATGTGTTCATCGGCAAGACCTATTAAGAAAGATATGCAAATAAGCACAGGCCCACCTGATGTAAGTTTAAAAACAAACTGTGGAAAATGAGAAAGTATGAGAGAATTAGGCAGGGAAATGAATATAATACGGGGGTACTTCAAAAAGTTCATGGAAAAATGGAATTAAAAGATAATATGGGGGGAGAGGGGAAGGGGAGAGATTGGATAAGGGCATAAATAATAAGTATGATTTGTAACAATGAATACGCTAAAAAAAGAAGATAATATGAGTCTTTCCATAACTTTTTGAAGACCCCTCGTATTATATGTATCTTTGTTATGTTTTAATTGAAATATGTGGCAGATACTGTAAAGGAATTTGCTGCAAGTATTCTAATGATAGGTAGACTACTTGAGGATGATTAGTAGACGTTGAGTTAAAAGTAAATGTTTATTTCGAAGGTCAAAATGGAATTTATGTGCCCAACTCATACCTGAATACTATCAGATGTTAAATACTGAAAATACCAAGCTGACTATGAGGGAGCCTTATATAGAAAACTGTAATAACAATAAACTTAGAGCAGCAACGAGTGGGTCCCCATCACTCAGTACATTCCTCCCACTTTACTATTTACACATCATTGTTTACCTTGTTTCAAAAGCTTTCCTCTAGTGTCTTCTTTTTAAAGAAAATATGAATTCTAGTATTAAAAACCTCTATTTTGCGGAAGTCCTTTTTCATATGCCTTCCATTGCAACTTGAAATCCTCAGTTCTATCAGCTGGATTTATTCTGTCCTTGGAGAACATTTGATCCATTGTTTTTTTGAATAAATAACTCTCCAGATTGCTTTTCATCTTTTTTTTTTCCTTCAATGGGCCATTTTTCCAGTCCCTGAGATATTTTTATTGCTGTCTTCTGAGTCCTTCTCAAGTTGTACACATTCACGGATCTGTCTGTACGGAATTTAGTGCCTAAACACCATGTATTAATACTTAAGGATAATGACTATTTTTTCAGTTCCCTGGAAACCGCTACCTTTTCCTTATGGCTCAAGAAAAGAAATAGTACCTTTGAATTCTTTAGTCTCAGAATTCAAGGTTGTTATTAAATATGAGAACAACTGAAAAGGATACTTTTCAAGATTTGATTATTAAAATGATTTAGAAATCAAGAAAATAAGAAATTCAAGGAGGCTGATTTTTTACAGAAGAAAGAATAGATTTCAGAGAGACCTGGGTTTGGAACCTGTATTTTTTATATAGTAGCATGTGATATTAAGACAGATAATCTCCTTGAGCCTCTATTTCCATATCTCTAAGATAGGACTAATAATTCTCTGTACAGTATTGGGGGGAGTGTTAAATAAGATGATTAATGAATAGGCTTGTACACAGTCAGCTGCTCGATATTCACTGAGTTAACATTATTAAAAAAACAAGGAGGCACCAAATGCAGAGTATAGACTCTGATTTCTCAATCTTAATGCATTTCTACCTTCTTGGAAATAGGGAGCTCACTGATGGATGGAGCTGGTAATGAAAATAAAAAGCATCATTTACAAATATGAGAGGTCAGTGTTTGACTCAGTGAAGAAACAAATGACTAGTAATCAATGCAACAAAAGCTTGCCCAGAGCATCACGAGAAGAAAATGTATTGGGAAAACATTACAGTTAGCACCTGCTTACCATTAACTTCTTTAATCCACTTCAATACGTGATTAATAATTTTAGATGCTGCCAAACACATAAAGTAATTAAAAAGAAATTTTCCTTTCTGTTTACTTCTTGAAAGCTAACTTTTAAAGACTTTGGGTTAGGTAAACAGTAAAAAAAAAAGTCACTTACCAAGGATTAATATAAAATGCCAAAAGATAATCAGTCCAAAGACATGAGGGTAGCAGGGTTAAGAAAGCAAATATACTCCTACGCCTGTGAGCATTAATAGATAACAGATGTAAAGATGAAAAAGTGGCAAGAGTTAGTAATATAAACTGTGAACAGATATCAGTAAATTACCTACTTGGATCATTTAATATGACAAGCACCTTAATTACAATTAAATATTATTTCATTCTGTGAAACTTAAATGTGAGGGCTTAAGTGTTACAATACTGACAAAATCAGTTTTTATTCACACACGACCTTATTGTAATCAGATATATTTCTTTCAACTTACTTTGTGTCAGTTAGTGTGCTATTAGGTGATTACATTTTGCATTCAGTTAAATGAGGCTCTTAAATGCCTCATTAGTTATCTTGAGTCTTATTCTTGGATATTATCTTTCCTATGCTCAAGTCTATTTTAAGAAACCTCTATAACATCATTTGATAGTTAAAGCAGCTCGTTTGAGAAAAATAAATGGTCAGTTTATGTACACTGACTCTGGTGAAGACTAAGCTTTTGGGACAAATTCATCACAGATTGCCCTACTAGGTGTGACTTTCTATGTTATTTCTTAGTTTAAATTACGACATAATTTCTAAAAATAATCCTTAAAACAGCAGTATGATATGATACTCAGGTATCATTCATTCAAAATAAGTAGCTCATCAACTGCCTGATCTGTAATTTCACTGATATTCAGCTGAGTGGGAGTAAAATTATTTAGTGTCATTTTAATCCGAATTCACACTGTTGATTTAAAATGCCTGGTTTGAATCCAAGTTCAACTATTCAAACCACTTGTAAAACAGAACATCTATTAATGAAGATTTAAAAATATCCTGTGCCTGCATCTATAATTATTCTGAGAATTAGAGGGGAAAATGCTGTCACCTTGTCACTTTAGTTGTTACAAATCCCCACTGAGATATCTATTCTCAGCCAAAAAATGCCAGTGCTGGCCAAATTGTCTTTGCCAAGAGCTGTGGGAGAATTTACTTGATTTTACAGAAAGGTCCTCAAGTGAATTCTCTTTTGCCTCAGTTCTTCCATAACAGGTCTCCCATAAATTCTATAAATTGTGACTGGCATACATGGCTCTCATGACTCACAAGTATAATCGGATCATTTCCTAGATGGGCCTCTCCGACTGGCCTTCTCAGTGTGGGCCAGGCAAGAAACAAGCATCAGTCAATCTTGTAATCTTGGAATGAGTGCTAATGTATTTGAACAAACTTAGTAATGTTTCAGAATTTTTCACCATCAAGGTTTATGGGTTTCTCTTTTTTCGCAGTTGGATTAATTGTACTTTAATAGCAAAAAAATTCTATTAACGTTAAAATTTTAAAGTGGCACAACATAGTATCTTGTTATAAATAATCTTGTTTCAACCAGATTTTCAACTGGAGTGGGCATAATTTATATTTAAATAAAGCCTTTCCTCTCTCTTTGAGTCTGTTGAGTAAAGTTTACAATCTCACACATCTATTTCTTTAAGATTAACCATTTTGCGGTGTTAGAAACAAAAAAATCACTTACCAAGGATTAATATGAAATATATACATTTAAATATACTTTGCATGGTTTCTTACAAAAGAAACAAGCTAGACCATGTAAGTAGTGCTTGCTTCATGTTAAACGTTTATTTGATAGTAATTTCTTTGGTATTGATTGAACTGGATAGGATTGTTAATTCTCATGTGTCATTGGTAGGTATAATGTCAACAGATTTAATCTTTTGACAATGCTTTTTTTATATTCTCAAAACACCTCCTCCCTGCAGGTGCTTGAAACTCAAGCATAAAGAAAAATGGACCTTGTTTTCTTATGGTACATCCCTGGCCTTGCTATTTATTTACCCGTATGTATGAGAGTTGAGAGCCCTGGGCTGTATACTTCTACTTCGTTTTTGAACAGAAGTGCTGGGTCATATCCCAGGCACTGAAACGGGAACTTCAAATGGAGATGCTGCCCTGTCTCATGCTGCTTCCCAGAAGCCTGTCCTGGTGCCTGAGCCACCACTTGCTCAGTGTGGTTCCTGCCCTAAAACCCTTCTTCAGCGCAGTTATGGGATCCTTGCATGACTGTTTTACTCCTTTGTCTCATATAGTAAATACAGCTCAGACTATCACATTTTCTCGACTTCGAAATTATATCAACCTATATAAACCATTATATTCTATGAAGATCTAGCCATTAAAAGTTCACTGTCACCGAAATTATGAAACAATAATCAGACAAAGCCACTTATCCCCTAAAGATGATAAAATCAAGTTTGGAGCACACACAGCATGGCTAGGCTAGTTCCACAGCGATGCTCACCAGTTGTATGGAAGCTTTCCATCTCTCTCCAAGGATGCAAAGTTGACAAATGTTCCAGCTCCACATTCCCTGTTTGAAAGGGACCACAAAATCAAGGTTACTGCTTGACAGAACACTTTACCTTGACAGCATTGAATTAGAAAGGACAAAAAAGTAATATAAATTCCATGTTTGCCTTTCTCATGCAATGCAAAACAGAAAGACAAAACAAAACGAAACAATCTTTTGCAAGGTTGCAAATCAAGTTTCTTGAGGTGAAAAGACCCAGTTTATAATCCTTTCCAAAGGATGATCATGATCCTAAAATAAGTCTTTAAACTATTTGGGGTATATATATTTTTTAATTTTAATTTATCAATATACAATGTAGTTGGTTTTTGTGTCCTTTTACAATTCCTCTCCCCCCTCCCTCTCTCCCATCCCCCCATCAGCATCATATCTGTTCACTTGTCTTAACAAGTTCAAGGAATTGTGATTGTCATGTCTTTTCCCTCCCTCCCCCCCATTTATTTCTCTGTTCATTTACTTATTTATTTATTTTTAGCTGCCACAAATAAGTGAGAACGTGGTATTTCTCCTTCTGTGCCTGGCTTATTTCATTTAGTATAGTTTTCTCTAAGTCCATCCATGTTGCTGCTAATGGTAGCATTTCATTCCTTTTTATAGCAGAGTAGTATTCCATTGTGTAGATGTACCACAGTTTCCATATCCACTCATCTGATGATGGACATTTGGGCTGGTTCCAACTCTTAGCTATTGTAAATAGCGCTGCAGTAAACATGGGAGTACAGGTATCCCTTCGGCATGATGATTTCCATTCCTCTGGGTATACACTCAGCAGTGAAATAGCTGGGTCATATGGGAGACTTATCTGTAGTTGTTTGAGGAGCCTCCATACCATATTCCATAAAGGCTGCACCATTTATCAGTTCCACCAACAGTGTATGAGGTTTTCTTTTTCTCCACAACCTCACCAGCCTTTATCATTCTCAGTCTTTTGGACATTAGCCATCCTAACTGGAGTGAGATGGTATCTCAAAGTGGTTTTGATTTGCATTTTCTAAATGCTGAGTGATGTTGAGCATTTTTTCATGTGTCTGTTGGCTATTCATATGTCTTCCTTTGAGAAATGCCTATTCAGCTCCTTTGCCCATTTTTTAATTGGGTTATTTGTTTTTTTGCTGTAAAGTTGTTTGAGTTCCTTGTATATTCTGGATATTAATCCTTTGTCAGATGTATATTTTACAAATATTTTCTCCTACTCTGTTTGTTGTCTTTTCAACTGTTAATTGTTTCTTTTGCTGTGCAGAAGCTTTTTAGTTTGATATAATCCCACTTGTTTATTTTTCCTTTGGCTGCCTGTGCTTTTGTGGTCATATTCATTAAGTCTGTACCAAATCCTACTTCCTGGAGTGTTTCACCTATGTTTTCTTTGAGGAGTTTTATTGTTTCAGGATGTATATTTAATTCTTGATTTTGGCATATGATGGAGGTACGGGTCTAGTTTCATTCTCCTACATATGAATATCCAGTTTTCCCAGCACCATTTACTGAAGAAGCAGTTTCTTCCCCAGTATGTAGACTTGGTGTCTTTGTCAAAGATCAGATGGCTGTAGGTATATGGGTTGATTTCTGGATTCTTTGTTCTATTTCATTGATCTATGTGTCTGTTTTTATGCCAGTACCATGCTGTTTTGGTTATTATCACTTTGTAGTATAGTTTAAAGTCAGGTAGTGTTACACTTCCAGCTTTATTTTATTTTTGTTCAAAATTGCTTTGGCTATTCATGGTCTTTTGTTATTCCAAATGAATGTTAGTATAGTTTTTTTCCATTTCTGAGAAAAATGTCATTGGAATTTTGATGGGGATTGCATTGAATCTGTAGATCACTTTGGGCAGAATGGACATTTTCACAATGTTAATTCTTCCAACCCAAGAGAAAAATGGACATTTTCACAATGTTAATTCTTCCAACCCAAGAGCATGGGATATCTTCCACCTTCTTGTGTCCTCTTTAATTTGTCTCAACAGTGGTTTGTAGTTCTCATTGTAGAGATTTTCCACATCCTTGGTTAACTTTATTCCTAACTATTCCATTTTTTTGGTGGCTATTGTAAATGGGCTAGTTTTCTTGATTTCTTTTTCTGCATGCTCACTGTTGTAGTATAGAAATGCTACTGATTTTTTTGTGTTAATTTTGTATCCTGCAACTTTGCTGAAATCATTTATCAACTCTAAGGACTTTTTTTTGTAGAGCCTTTAGGCTGTTCAATATATAGGATCATGTCATCTGCAAACAGGGACAGTTTGACTTCATCTTTTCCAATCTGGGTGCCCTTTATTTTCTTGTCTTCTCTGATTGCTCTTGCTAGTACTTCCAACACTATGTTGAATAGGAGTGGTGAGAGTGGGCATCCTTGTCTAGTTCCTGTTCTTAAAGGAAAGGCTTTCAGCTTTTCCCCATTCAGGATGATATTGGTAGTGGGCTTTTCATATATGGCTTTAATTGTGTTGAGATACTTTCCATCTATAGCCAACTAGTAGAAAGTCTTTATCATGAACAAGTGTTGAATTTTCTGCATCTATAGAGATGATCATGTGGTTTTTGTCTTTCATTTTATTGATATGGTGTATCACATTTATTGATTTGGATATGTTGAACCAACCTTGCATCCCTGGGATGAATCCCAGTTGATCATGGTGTATAATTTGTTTCTGTATTCTGTTAGCTAATATTTTACTGAGAATTTTTGCATCTATATTCATGAAGGATATTGGCCTGTAGTTTTCTCTTTTTGTTGTATCTTTGTCTGGTTTTGGTATCAGGGTGATGTTTGACTCATAGAATGAGTTTGGGAGAATGGTCTCTGTTTCAATGTTTTGGGATAGTTTGTAGAGAATTGGTATCAATACCTCTTTGAAGGTTTGGTGGAATTCTCCAGTGAACCCATCCTGTCCTGAGCTTTTCTTTCTTGGGAGACTACTGATAACAGCTTCAATCTCTTTTATTGTTCTTGGTCTGTTCAGATTTTCTGCATCTTCTTGGCTCACTTTTGGTAGTTTGTGTGTGTCTAGAAATTTATCCATTTCCTTCAGATTTTCAAATTTGTTGGCATATAGTTGTTCATAGTAGTCTCAAATGATTCCTTGTATTTCTGAGGTATAAGTTGTAATATCACCTTTTTCATTTCTAATTTTTGTTATTTGGGTCTTCTCTCTTCTTTTTGTAGTTAGCCTTGCTAATGGTGTGTCAATTTTATTTATCTTTTCAAAAAACCAACTTTTTGTTTCATTGATCTTTTGTATCATATTTTGGGTTTCTATTTCATTTACTTCTGCTCTGAACTCAATGATTTCTTTCCATCTATTAACTTTGGGTTTGGATTGTTCTTGTTTTTCTAGTTCTTTAAGGTGACGTGTTAGGTTATTTACTTGCCATCTTTCCATTCATCTGAAGTAAGTATTTAATGTGATAAATTTCCCCTTAGTACTGCTTTTGCAGTATCCCACAGGTTTTGGGGATTTTAAAATTTCAAGAAATTTTTGATTTACTTTTTAATTTCTTCTTGGACCTATATATCATTAAGTAGAATGTTGTTTAATTTCCATGTGTTTGTATAATTTCCAGAGTTTTGTTATTGATTTCTAATTTTAATCTATTGTGATCTGAAAAAGTACATGGAATAATTCCAATTGTTTTGAATTTGTTGAGACTTATTTGTTAGCTTATTTAAGATTTGTTACCTTACACGTGGTCAATCCTGGAGAATGTTCCATGTGCTGATGAGAAGAATGAGTATTCTGAGGTTGTTGGATGGAATGTTCTGTAGACATCTGCCAAATCCAATTGGTCTCAAGTGTTGTTTAGATCTTCTGTTTCTCTGTCGATTTTTTGCCTAGATGATCTGTCCAATGTTGAGAGTGGAATGTTCAGGTCTCCTGTTATTATGGTATTAGTGTCTATCTCATTCTTTAGGTCTAATAGTGTTTGCTTTATATATCTAGCTGCTTCAATGTTGAGTACATATATATTTATGACTGTTATGTCTTCTTGATGGACAGATCCTTTTATCATTATATAGTGGCCTTCTTTATCTCTTTATGGTTTTTGTTTTAAAGTCTATTTTATCTGATAGAAGAATAGCTACTCCAGGTCATTTTTCATTTTTGTTTGTATGGTATATCTTTTTCCATCTTTTCACTCTTAGCCTGTTGTCTTTACAGGTGAGGTGAGTCTCTTGAAGGCAGCATACTATTGGCTACATCTTTTTAATCTAGTCAGTCAGTCTGTGTCTTTTGAGTGGGGAATTTAATCCTTTTACATTAAGAGTTAATATTGAAAGGTGTCAATTTACTCCTGACACTTTATTGATTTTTGTTTGGATGTCTTAAGTATCTTTTGTTCCTTTCTTTCTGATTTACTGTTTGTCTTCTGTGTTTGTTGGTTTCTTGGGATGATAGATAAACTTTTTTTCTTTTTATTGTTAATGTTTTATTTTACTTGTGGGATTTGTTCTTTCTTGAGTATTCATGGCAGTGATGGTTGATTTTCAGGTACCAAACCCAGTACTCCCTTGAGATTTTCTTGTAAGGCTGGTGTGTGGTAGTGATCTCCTGCAGTTTTTGTCTGAGAGATATGCTATTTGTCCTTCATTTTGGAAGGATAGCCTTGCTGGGTAAAGTATTCTTCACTGGCAATTTTTGTCTTTTAGTATTTTAAATATATCATCCCATTCTTTTCTGGCTTTTAGGGTTTCTGATGAAAGATCTGATGTTAGTCTGATTGAGGCTCCCTTATAGGTGACTTGACTCTTCTCTCTTGCAGCTTTTAAGATTCTCTTTCTGTCTTTGAGTTTTGCTAATTTGACTATCACATGTCTTGGAGAGGACCTTTTGGGGTTGAATATGTTTGGGGATCTTTGAACTTCCTGAATCTGAAGATCTGTAACTTTCCCTATACCTGGGAAGTTTTCTGCTACTATTTTGTTGTGTATGTTTTCAATGCCATTTCCTTTTCCCTCCCTTTCTGGAATACCAAGGATTCGGATATTTGAGTGCTTAAGGTTGTCTGTTGTCTCTCCTAAATTTTCTTCAATTTTTAAATTCTTTTTTCTTTTTTTTTGTCAGCCTGTGTTATTTCAAATAGACCATCCTCAAGGTCAGAAATTCTCTCTTCTGCTTGTTCTAGCCTGCTGGTTTAAACTTTCTGTTGTGTTTTCTGTTTTATTGAATGAATCCTTCAGCTGCACAAGCTCTGCTACATTCTTTTTCAGAGCACTGATTTTTTTAAACATTTCTTCTTTCAGGTCCTTTATACTTTTTCTCATTTCATTGTGTTGTCTGAGTTTTCTTGTATCTCATTTAGTTTCCTTAAAATTGATGCTTGAAATTCCTTGTCAGTCATTTCAAGGACTTCCTGCTCTATAGGTTCTAGAGTTTGAGAGTTATTGTTTTCCTTTGGTGGTGTTGTACTTTCTTGGTTTTTCATATTTTTGGTATCTTTCCTTTGGTGTTTAGTCATTGTGGTAGGGGGTGTCACAGTCCACTGGTGTCTGGCCTGGATCCTGCAGGGACTGCCAATTTGGCGTGGCTGCCTCGGGGCCTGTCAGCCTGGTGGCTCTTGGGCCTCTCTGGGCAGCAGGGACTTGCCTGGACTGAGGGTCCCGTGGCATGGCACCTGCTGGTTCCAGTGCAGCTCACTCAGGGCCTGTGGGCCCAGCACCTCTCAGGCCTCTCTGGGCAGCAGGGACTGGCCTGGGCTGTGGGTCCCAAGGCATAGTGCCTGCCTGTTCAGGTGTGGCTGGCTCGGAGCCTGTCGACTCGGTGGCTCTCTTGCCTCTTTCTTAGCTGGTTTTATTATTAACTCTGGGGTATAATATTTTTCACAAAGCCTTCAATAGGAAGTCATGGAAACACTCGTAGATAAACTGAGGCTATTCCATTTTTAGCAAAAATTCTTTGTGGGGTTTAGTTTTATAGCATTTTGATTTCTTCTCTATAATGATGGTGGATCAAGTTGGATTGTTTATTTCTCCAGAATATTTCTCTCATATTGAGGTGTCCATATTATCCATTACTTGAGAAAAGAAAGAGTGGTATGTATTGAAAGAGGTTGGCTTCTGCTGTGCCTCTTATCCAGAATGTTACCTATTAATCTGTTAGTAAACAACACTGTTAAAGTTTTTTTTTTCCGGAAGTGGAGGAAAGGGTAAATATATTCTCATACCTTTTCTACCTTTTGACTAATATCATTCATAAATAACATAGCTCATTGGGGCTCATGCATCTTATTTTTTCTCTGTATGAAATTAATAGACATTCAGAACTGAAGCAGAGATTTTGAAATTATTGGCACAATATACTAACCACTTCAGTGATCTTCTCGTTCTCATTAGGGTGTTCTAAGAATGATTTTCTTCTTTTGAAAAAATACACTAATATATTCTGAAGTCATATCATATTATCAATGAGTCACATCATCAATGAATTTTCCTATGGCAATTTCCTTTATATAGGATTTATTTTTTTTATTAAGAACCCTTCTAATTCAAGGGTTCTTAATCTGGAGTCCAAGGCTGAAATTTAGGGCTTTATGACATATGTAGGAGAAAAGTACATCTGTATTTTCACAACCTGTAACTGAAATTCAGCAATTTCTTTCTATTATTGAATTAGGCAACAAACCACCATAATATCAGTACTTGTGATTTGCCAACAATAGAAATTACAGATATTTTCCTATGATAGACTTGCTAAGTTATTTTGAAATAGTGTTCATATTTATCACTATGATGAAATTATTAGAGTTGTTAGACTACTAAATATTGATATTTAACATATTAATAGAGAAGCATATAACATGTTTGTTTTTTAGATATGATGATTGCCATATTTCAATATGATCACATAATCTTATGTATTTTATTTTATGCACTTAAAAAGAAAGCATTACTTTTGGAAGGGATCCACAGGCCTCACCAGGCTGCCAAAGAGGATCATGGCACAAAAAAATGTTAAGAATCCCTACTTTAATGATCAGCTGGATGAACTGGAACCAACTCTCCTAAATATCTGCTGTATGCACCACAGAAAATTCTCCTGCAGTAATACCCTCAGAAATGCCACTACTTCCATTACTGTGTCTATTAGTACCCACGTTGCTGTTACTATTATGACTATCTTTTATTGTACACTTCCCATGAGTTGAGTACTATGCCATGCTGTTACTGCATGACTGCTCCTAAATATTCACTAATGTAGAGGCTATCATCCTGTCTTCTAGATCCACATTCTTTCCCGGGCTGCTGGGCCACCGCACTCTCTTAGTTTCCCTTTTTTTTCACTGGTTGCCTCTTGTCAGTTACTTGCTGTTATCTTTTCTCCCTGAAAATCTTAACATTGGATTGTTTCAGTGCTTAATCCAAGGCCTTCTCTTTTTTATGTCTACTCCTTGGATTTCCTCCAGTAAATGGTTTTAATATAATTTATATGTTAACAACTCTCAAGTTTATATCTTTAACCAAGTCTTCTCTCCTGAACACCAGACTTTTATGTTCAGCTGCCTGCTCCGCACCTGTACTTGCAAGTCATCTCCAACTTAACTTTTCCAAAACTGATGTCTAGATATTCCCCAACTCTGAAAGCTTTTCACATCCAATTTGTTAGAAAATCCTGTTGCCTCTGTTTTCAAAATATGTTTGGAATCTGGGCATTCCTCCCTACCTTCATTGCTACTACTCTGGACTGAACCATCACCATCTCTTGCCTGGATTACTGTAACCCATTCTCCAGGTGACATGCCTGCTTTTGTCCTTGCCTCGATACACTCTGTCTTCTACATAAAAGTAAATGAAAGTGTTAAAACATAAGTCAGATATTGTTAATCTTCTGCACCAAACCCTGCAACTGTTGCCCATTTATTCAGAATAAAAGCCAAAGTTCTTACAATGGCTTATGAAACCCTATATGATCTGATGTCTCCTGCTACTCTTCCCTTTATTTTCTCTGCTTTAGTCATACTATCCTCTCTGCTGTTCTTTGAACCTGCTGGTTATACTACTGCCCCAGGACCTTTATATTAGCTGTTCTCACTACTGGGCACATCCATCCTACAGATAACACCAGGCTAACTCCCTCGTGTTCTTTACGTCTCTGCTCGAGTGTTACCCTTTCAGTAAAACCTACCCATGCCCCGGGGCTTCTCTCCCCTACCAGTACTAATCTCCCTTACTCTGCTCTATTATTTTTTTCTTATCACCTGCTAACATACTGTGCAATCTTTTAACTTATATTTTTGTTGTTTATTGTCTATCTCCCCCACTAGAATACGAGCTCCATGAAGGGATACATTTTTGTCTGTTTCATATACTGCCTATCCCAAGCACCCAGAGGGGGAGTTTGACACACAGCAGGTGTCAATAATATTTGTTAAATGAATGAATAAAGTTTCAAGGACCTGCTCAAGTTCACACAGATTATAGGTCAAGATTTGACCTCAAGGAGTGTAATTTCAGAGGTCTACTATAGCCGTAGTGCAATACCACCTCCCTCCCTATCCTTCTAAGATTATTCAAATGCAAACCTACAAGAAGCTGCTGATTTTCATATTTCTTTTTTCATGGCATCCCATTTTTATCTCCTTTACATACAGGGCAGCATATGCCTTTAAATATATCTATTCATGTAAAAATCTCCAGCTAGGTTTTAAGTTCCTAGTGGACAGCTGTGATGTCTGATTTTTCTTTGGGTACACCAAACAGAGCACTGATCAAATTATTAATAAATGGATGAATTTAATTGTGAGTATGTGAATGATAGAACTCTAAGAAGGTAGAAGAACGTTAACATACAATTCAGCAGGCTAAAATTGGGCAAATATGAATTTGAACCAAATTTCCCAAACTCTGTAGTATTCAAATAAGTAACAGTTTCTGAAGGGAATTGATGGATTGTTCTGGTAATATAGGTGACCACAGAGAGTATTTGAGAATGTGCTCTGATGAGCAATGCATCAGTGGTGAAAAGAATAGGGAAGCTCTGAAATCATAAATCAAAGGCTTTTTCTGACTGCAAGACAAGTTTAACTGGCTGCAACTCTGAATGCTAAGAAAAAAACTCATAGGGGATGTCTAATGGATCTAATCATAAACTCTACAAATATTTGCTGATAAAACAGCTTAATAGAATTAATAAGAGGATTTTATTTTCATGTTCTTTCTTGTGGTCTCCATTTTTATTAACTCCTTTCATTAATATTACCGAGCAGCATAGATCTTTTTACTGCAAATACCAGAATGTCTGAAAATACCCAAATGTCATGGGTCCCTATGTATCGGATGTCAAGACTATGACAAGTGGTCTGGCTTTGTGAAAACAAGCAATTCTTTGCTTTACCATTGCAATGTTAATGCTTTCTAAAATAATATTCAAAAGGCTACTTAGGAAACACACAAAATAGAAATAGACACTAAAAACTGAAATCAAATTTACCATTATGCAATTTAGGTCTTCAAAAGCCATACAGGTATGATAAGCAAAACGATTTTAAAAATTGTGAGTAAAAGAAGAACAGCACTTACCTAGCCATCTGCAGATGCTTTTTCCTAAGAATGACAAGGGTGACAAGCAGCAGTCCGATTAAGAGTGTGCTAAGGATGGCCAGCACTGAGATTACCACCACGTTAGGATTCATCTCTGTAACTAAAGGAGATACATCTTACATTTTCATTGCAGGTTCCACTATATGTAAACTAACAGAACCACTCACTGTTTTTCATCCAATCTTAAGAGCAGTGAATTTATGATGATAACAATAACAGTGACAACAATGTTTCTCCAAGCCAACAACGACCTATTCCTGGTCAACTATAGCTTAGTAGACTGATAAGTGGTGTTCAGGTGCCTGGAAGGATTGAGCTCATTTCAAAAGCTTACAACATTCAAGATGTTCTTATAAAGGGAAACTGCAAAATGTAGAGAATGCCTGTGTCATAGTTTAAATTCATTTTAAAACTAAAAATCTAATAGTTATCACGTGTTATCACTGTTTAATATTTTCAAAAACTTAACGCATGGTAGATTCTTATTCAATGCCCGTGCCTTTAAAGTCAGAAAACACAACTGAATACTTTGTTCACAACTAATAATGTATATGAAAAAGGCATTAGCAAGCAACCATCTGCTGCAGCACTTAACACACTGCTAGAAGCAGGCATTCTGATGATCTGTAACCATATGTTTAGAGGTTTTCCATCTGCACAACTCAAGAGATTAGACCTATTAATAAATTGTGGGGCCCTTAGGAACAGGGGTTGTGTGCTTTTCATATACTTTACATATTGCCTAGTTCCTCACATTATATGGAAGAGCAGGATATCAAATGCAGGCAAATATATTAGGTATTTTTATAAAACTCTTCGAAGTGGACCAGAGGAGAATCATACCATCCTTTGCATTGGTCATAAAATCACAGAACTGGCCAGCACATATGATCCCTAAGGCCTGGGGTATTTGCCACTTCCCATTGGGCAGTGTGGTTCCAGATTATGGGCAGAGTGCTTGAACCGAAAGCACAAGAGACTCATGGTCAGAAGAGTTTGCTCCAGGTCACTTGACTGCTGACTGCCATTTGGGGAAGCCCTTTTACTTGCCCCTCTGAGCCTCATTTTGCTCACTTGCAAACAAGTTGAATAGTATCACCTGTCATACTAGGTGGCTGGGGAGATGACAAGGAGTAATGGGCATTTAAGTATACTTAGGAAAGTGTAGAAGGATGTAGGGATTAAAGACCATTAAAATACTTTTCAGGTCCATTTTTGTTTTCTCTTCTGAAAAAAACAAAAATTAAAAACAGAAAACAACAAAAGCAGTTCACAACTGTCATCACTGAACATAACAGCTAAATATATGTCTAAAATTACAGAAATAAAAATGAACCCACGAAGGGATAATGTGACAGTAAGAGTGGCTTTATCACAAGAGGCTTCGCACAGGGTCTCAGACTGCAGAAGCAGACTGTCACAAACCAGGGAGGAACACGTATACTACGACTAAGAAAAAGAGTAAGGAAACAAACATTATTTTAGACCTCTCATTAATTTCCATTTTTCCTTTTATACTTTCTGCCAGATTGGAAACTTTCTTGCTTTGACCCAGTAATTCTGTATTGCCATTATTTGACCAGTGGCAGCTGAGGGCCAAGGTTAAAATAGATGAAACTGAGTTGATTAGGGGACGGTGCCTGCTACTGAAGATGAGGATCAGATGATGACGAAGTTTCTGCTGGCAACTAGCATTTAGACAGCATGTGCTAAGGCTTTACGTAATTTATTTTTAAGCTTCACAACGACCTCCAAAAGGTATATATTCCAGTTTTAGTAAAGATGAAAAAAACAAAGGCTCAGAAACAGTAACTATCTTCCTCTAAGTCATGTAGCTAGTAAGCACAGTTTTGGATTGAAATTAAGGGCTCCCTGAACCCAAAGCCTGGGATTTTTCAATGGAACATGGGTTCCATTAAAATAATAGATTATACACACTTAAAAAGAAAGACTAAGAAAAACATGAAAAGAAAAAACTTCCAAAGACCAGATTCCGCTGATGTATATAGTTACCCATTGTTGAGACGGCTATGAATGTAGGAACACTGGGGCTGTCATGGCTAAAGCTGGTGACACTACAGTTGTAGGCAGTGGCAGGGAGGAGGCTGGAGATGGTCACGACATGAGAAGAAACAGCAATTGGTTCCTGGAGATGCAGACAATAAGATAAATTTTATATTATCTTCATTTATTTCAATTTTTGAATTATTTTTCAGGGTTGAGTAGGTAATAAACTGACAGAGTAAAAAATTTAAGAGATGAAAAAAGATATTAGTGAAAAATGTTTCCTTCTTTCCCTATTCCCTGTCTACCCAATTCTCTTCTGTGGAAGCTGCCATCATTGTCAGGTATTTTTTTCTTCTTATATGTATTTTATGGATGCATAAACATATAAGAAATACTTAAAAAAAACATAAGTAATGACATAGTTTACCTTAGTTATCGGTATATTTTGACATTCTTTCTGTATCAGTACAGATTAAGCTGTTTAATTCTTTTTAAGGGCTGCATAGAAATCCATTGAAAGGTATTTTATTTAACCAGCCCTTTACTGATGAACATTGAAGTGGTCTCTGACTTTTTTGCTATTGTAAATGGTGCTACAGTGAACATCATTTCACAAATGTGGGTACATATGTACACACACACATAAACACAAATCCTGTATATGTATGTATGTCTAAACATACATACATACATACATACACATACTTTCATATATTCTTAGCAGTTGAATTGCTGGGTCAAAAAGTGTACATTTTTAATTTTACAAGCCATTGAAAAATAGTCTTCCACATTTTCCAAGTTACCTACCTTCTATCAGTGTAACAATGCCTGTGTCCGGACATTCTTTCCAACACAGTATATTTGCAAACTGAGATATTCTAATATTATTAGTGAAAACTGTTTCTTGTAGTTTTATTTTGCATTTCTTTTTACCACAAGTGAGTTTCATCAATTTATCATATGTTCAAGAACCTTTTGTATTTGTTTTTCTATGAAATATTTTGTTTTGAGTTGTTAGTCTTTATCCTTTTGACTTGGAGTAGTTCTTTATGTATTAAAGACACTTTGTCTGAATTCTCAGCTTTTATATAGCATCAAAGGCATGGTGATGTGTGCTCAGAAACACTTAATATTAACCTGTTCTTGAGTAGAACAAGTTGCTAATTTGGTGGACCAATGGCCAGACCAGTGATAAGTACTACCATACAATATAAAAAGATGAGCCAGCATAGTAATCTTTTTAAAAACAAGATTCGGAAACACCTCTGCCTAAGAGATGAGAGCTCTTAGCACTTACTTTCCACTCCTATCTCTGACTGTTCTATGAAAGAATGATTCTTTTTTTTTTCCTTTTTGTCTTTTTTCGTGTCCGGCAACGGATCGCAACCCTCAGTGTCGCGCCCGTACCGGACGGGGACCGGCAACGGGATCGCAACCCTCGGTGCTGCGCCCGCACCTCACTCAGCCAGTGAGCGGGAACCGGTCTGTATGTGGGATCCGAACCCTCGGTGGGAGCACCACCACGCTCCCAAGCGGCACACTGTAGCAGTGCACCACCAGGCTGGCCCTATGAAAGAATGATTCTAAGGAAAGAAAGACTTTTGCTCACGGGACTCAGTTGTAGTAAGTAGTTGACTAACTATTATGTTCTTAAAGGAAGGCATTGCCATGGTTACAGAGAAGAAAATCCATTACTGGCAGGGCAGTTACTTTCAAGAAGGATTCTTAGAATAGAGAAAAGATTCAGCTGTTTAGTACAGATCAAAAAGAGATAAGTTTGTAGAAGGGAATATCAGAAAGGGGAAAGGAATCAAAGCAAATTATCATAGTATAATGTATACTTAGTATGAAAAGATTTGTACTCCCAGCAATCCTTCCTCCTTCTTAATCTCATGAACTTCATTATTTAAAAAGCATCAATCATTCATGTTCAGAGTATTAGTCATAGACTGTATTATGAAAGGTCCTTTACAGACCTCCCCTTTTCCTTCCACCTCCAGCTATAAAAAATTTTTTCCTGTGGCTTTGCTATCCCTAGAGCTGCTGGTTCATCTCTCTCCTTCTATTCATTGTGACCTGGGGAAAAACTCAGTGTTTATCAGATCTGTCATTTGGGATTCTAAACCTTTAGCTTAACTTTCCCTCAGCCTCCATTTTCCAGCAAAGTTGTCCTTTTTACTAACTGGATATGCACATTTCTTTTAAATTCTCTTAGTAGTATGGATCTCTCTTCTAACACTTTTGCTTACAAATTCTTATGTATTTTTACATATTTTACTTACTTGTATACTTATGTAATATTCACAACCACATAAAAATTTTTTGAAGGCAAATAATTCTACCATTTGTATTTTATACCATGCTTTTCAAATAACTGGCAATTGGTTTATATTAGTTAAATTATATTTTATATGGCAGGCTGTTCATATATGGCATATATTATATATGGCAGGCTTGATTAATTTAATGGCCAATAGGAAAAATGAACCACTTCCTTTATTCCTTCCTATGCCCTGGAGTGGCAAAGGATTAGGAACAAAAGATCAATACAAAGATAAAAGTTTTCATAGCATCTTTTTGGCTTCTTAGCATACTGTTAATTTCTATCACTGAAACCCAAAAGAGTAAATGGAAAGTTTTCTTTTTCTTCAGTTCAAAGAAATAGAAGATTTTTATTTTACTCAGATAATTAGCCTTAATCAAAATAACTCAGAAAAAGAAAATCAAAATGTACAGTACCTGGAGTTTGGTTTCCCGACTGGAGCCAACTTGCTGACAGAAGACTTCAAAGAAATCAGCCACTCCTTCTTCCACCCACAGCAAAGTCACTGAAGTCTGAGTTTTGTTCACTGCAAAGAGTGACTTGGGAGGAGCTGGTTCTGAGCAAGGAAAAAGTTTTTTAAAATTTAATTTAATTTAATGTTTCTGTCTTCTTTCACTAGTAAGCTGGTAAAGTATCCAAAATATACAAATACAAGGAGTTAAATGGCACCACAAAGACTTTATATTGCTTTTGAAATATGTTTTTTCATAATCATCTAAGTTGGAAGGCAGGGTATTTGCCTTTTTCTACCCATTCCATTTTATAGTTCCCTTTTTGGAACACTTCTGCTTTCTGCTTCAGCTTTACTATGGACATAATCTATTAATAGTTTTTGTGTCATCTGCAACTGGAATTAGAATTGCCCCATGAATACTGAACCTTCTGGATGAGAAACAAAATTTTGTACTTTACAAAGGCTGAGTCGTGTGCTCTTCTCTCATGGAGAAATTCAGTTTGGTACTTAGCCAAGAACCTGTTTTGCTGTTCTCAAAAACTATTTGGAATAATTTGGCAAGAGGAACAGGTTCCTGAAAATCTAGCCACAATTAAGAGTGATAAGGCTAAATGAATAATATGATTTTTTAAGAAAAGTGTTGATAAAAGGGGAGTGAATGACCAACAACATGTCAGAGATGAGTTCTTAATCTGAGACATTTTATCTTTATCAATAAATTGATCCATTAGTCAAGGAAGCCACACTGTCCATGCCCCTTCATACTCATTTTTAGTGGTTTTGTTGGCTTGAGCTCAAACCTCTGCCTGCTCCCCACTTCTAGTAAGTGGTCTGCTGTCTCGTTCCACCATTCCTGAATCTTTCCTGGATTTCTGCCTGTGACCCTGTCCTTTGGATGTTGCCTTTCCCTCTAGTTTCTTCAGGATGCAAAATGCTATGCCTGAAGTCAAGGTCTTAAGCTGTGATCCCTGTCCCCTGCTGTCAGACCTCCTTGACATTCTTCTCTTGCTGCCAAGTTCACAGAACAGCGTACTCTGCCCACCTGCACATCCCCATCAGACAACTCCCCACTGGTACAGATCTCTCTCTGCTTGTTACTTGGATTTCTTTTCACTATCTGCCCCCCTCTCCCAAGTCTGGTCTCTGGCTCCTGGCTTTCAGCAGTGCTTAGAAATGTCCTGTAGGCCATTTCACCACTTTGACAGGTATATGTCTTTGTGTGGGAAGGTTTGAACCTTTTTTCTAGGATGTCATGATCGTGGCTCTGTCCACAACCAAGAAGTATGTCAAAATCATTCTTGACCTGATTTATCACAGATAAACTGTGTGCAACTAAAAGGAAGCATGTTTCTTTCCAGAGGCGACTTGACAAAGCTAGGCAGGAGAGCTGAAGGAGGAAGGGGATGAGTTAGTCTTGGGCAAGCAAAAGTCACTGTAGATGTCAGAACCCCTTTTCCATTTGCAATGAATTGTCCACCCCTCCAGACACTGCGTTGTCTCACTTCTCTTCTTCTGATGAAACACAGAGGTCAATTTCCACTTTTCACATCCTTCATAACTGTCATTACTAACAGGATTAGGAGTCAGAGAACAAGTCTCCCAGTCACTCTGACTTGTGTAGCACTTGGATCTTTCGAAGCAAGTGTGAGTTGCTTGGGGCAGAGATGGATGATTTGTTAGGATGAGCCTGGGCTTTTTCTCTTTTGAAAATACACACTACAGGGCCAGCCCGGTGGCGCACTGCTGTAGTGCGCCACTTGGGAAGCGCAGCGGCGCTCCTGCGGAGGGTTCGGATCCCACATACAGACCGGTTCCCGCTCGCTGGCTGAGCGAGGCGCGGGAGCAACACCGAGGGCTGCGATCCCGTTGCCGGTCCCGGTCCGGTACGGGGGTAACACTGAGGGTTGTGATCCGTTGCCGGACACGGAAAAAGACAAAAAAAAAAAAAAAGAAAATACACACTACAGAATTGCTCCTCAGAGTATTCTCCTACATCAGAATCAGAATCCCTAGGACACCTACGTTTTTCCTCTTGGTGGGCAGATAAAGTCAATTTAGCTATCCAGTATGAGCACTGCCCAAATCCTAATCTCTGGATCTGAGCATTTACACCCGCATTTTCAATCACCCATCGTATGTGCCTACCTGAATCTCACCATTACCTCAATACGGTCCATATGGTCACAACTCCGTATGGTCAAAACTGAACCTGGCATTCTCCTCTTCTCACAAATCAATTCTGCTTCCCGACCACTGCTTCTCTCATGAGCACCACCATTCTTTCAATTGTCTCAGACAACAATTTTGAGGCTCTCCTCCTACTTCTCAGTCTCAGATAGCATGCCTTTTAAAAATTTTTGTCATCTTTTCCTTTCATCTATTTTTTTTATTATATTGCATGTCCAGACTTTTGTTTTCACATTCACAGATCATTACAAAAGTCCCTTACCCCTTATTCCCTGGCTCTTTTTGATTCTTTCTTCATTTTGTCAATGATGGCTTAAATCATCTTGAAAGGCCACTTTGCTCATGTTAAATCCTATCTGTGCATTGTCTATTGTATCAAGTATGGCAAGTTTTGAAGATCTACTTAACTTGGCTACATGCTGCCTCTCTAGCTTCACACCGTCTCTACCACACAGATGTGCTGCCCTGCTGAAGCCAGTCTCTCACAGTGTTCTCGATGGTCTATCCCTTCTCTGATCTATTGCCCTTCACTACTTCCTATTTGATCTATGGGAGTAAAGTCCCAATTCCTCTAGATCCTATTACATTCTTTAAGAATAGGGACCATGTGTTATAAATTACTTTGTCTTCACCTTGAACTAGCCACCTATTGGTACTCAATAAATCTTTTTTTATTGACTGATTTAAAACATGAGTCAAGATTCATCAACCAGAAGAGTTGGGATTCAAGCATCAGTCAAGACAGACATACTGGGGTTGAATTTTGATGCTCTCTGCCCTTTCAATGGTGATCATGCTGATAAAATCTTCAGATTTCGGTAGCAGAGTAAAGAACTGTTGTGAATTATAGTAAGAGTTCTGAGTGGTCTGAGGAATACGACATGGAAGGTAGAGTGGGGGTTTTTGTTTTGGCTGAGAATGGGGATCAAGGTGATAAGCAGGATTCTCAGGAAAATCTCCAAAAGATCTGGGACTTTTAACAACCAGGTAACAAATTTTTCCTTTCTTTTTAAAAAATTTTTCTTTTCAGGTGAAATATGGGGACAACAGATTATTCCAAGTTCACTGCACCCATCATCACTTCACTCTCTTCTGAGAGCTACATGCATATCAGCTCTGTGGGTCAGTGAGTGGCATACGCAAATCACTCGCTTGAGGACTGTTTAGGATCTTTGTGATTCATGTTTCCCATCCTCAGGCACAGGACTAAAAGTGGGTAATGGCTAAATATTGTTTAGTAATTGCATATGATAGGGGATACAATGACATGCAAAAGCATTTGTTTGGTCTCTCTCTCTGTTATTGAATGAATTGTGTCCTCCCAAACTCATGCATTGAAGCCGTAACCTCTAATACCTTGGAATGTGACTGTATTTCAAGATAGAGCCATCTGAGAGGTGATTAAATTAAAATGAGGCTATTAGGATGGGTCATAATCTAATCTGGTACTCTTATAAGAAGAGAACATCTGGCATGAAATGGGACACACGAAGAGACACCAGGGATGCACACACACAGAGAAAAGACCATGTGAGGACACAGGTAGAAGACAGTCATCTGTAATCCAGGGAGAATCCAGTTCCACTGATACCTTGCTCTTAGGCTTCTAGCCTCCAGAACTGAAGAAAGTAAATTTCAGTTGTTTACGTTATCCTATGTGGTATTGTGTTATGGCAGTCCCAGCAAACTAATATAGTGTCTTACTATTCAAAATATCAAATACGGTCTAGCTCATGAAGCGGGGAGAGAGACAGGGAGACCTCAGTAATGTGAAGAATAAATGAGCTTCAGATGCATTTAAAAACACTTCATATAATATAAAGAGTCATGTGGACATTAGTTATAGAACATCTCCTGGTTAAAGCTTTTTATCTCTCTAAATGACATTTTAAATCTTAACATTGTCAATGTTCTCATGCTCTCAAATGACAAATTTCCTTCCTTTAAAGAATAATTTCGGATTGCTTCCTGCTCCTACACATCCTTGCAACCCCACCAGCATGTCTCGGGCTGAGTTTGAGAAAGCAGCCGAGGACGTTAAGCACCTAAAGACCAAGCCATGGGATGATGAGATGCTGTTCATCTGCGGCCACTACAAACAAGCGACTGTGGCCAACGCCAGTAAGGCAAGGCCAGGTGGGATGCCTGGAATGAGCTGAAAGGGACCTCCAAGAAAGATGCTGTGCAAACTCATGTCAACAAAGTGAAAGAGCTAAAAATATATGGAATAGGAGAGATGGGATTTTGTTGGCAGCCATGCATTTATTTAACCTAAACTGACATATGCCTTGTCTTTCCTAATACTGTGGATGATGCAAAATAGTGAAAATAACCAGTTAACCTAGTTCCTCCAGGCTGTTCAGGATAGGGCTCTGACAGATTAGGGGCTGGCCTTGCCTGAGTAGTTTTTTTTTTTTTTTTAATCACAGATCAATTAAAAGTGCACTTTGTTACTTAAAAAAAAATAAAAATAATTTTAGAGTCCATGACATTTGATGTGAGTACCTATGTCTCTGGGTAAAAGGGTTAGATACACTATTTTTACAAAACAAGGGATTTGCTTTTAAACACTCTGTAAAATCTCTCTAACACTGCTGGTGTTCTGCTCAACTAGTCGGCCGTCCCCCTTTCCTTCTCCTCTCTCCCCTTCAATGCCTCTCCAGAGTTGGGTTGGGAATCCAATCTAATTTTATAAGAAAATCAAGTACAATGCACGGAACATGGGCAGAGTGGAGGGCTGTAACGCTAGCTCTACCATTCAATTTAGATTGGATTATGAGAGGCTCAAGCTGTTGCCTCGGATCTCCGGGGAGTGAAGGTGACCTTCAGTGAAGTATGAGCTAGTGTCTGACTCTCATTCTGTGCCCTGGCAGCAAATCTCTCCTTTTCCTTCAGAATCACAAAGGGAATAGTCA